GTAAGAAATACATCAGCTTTAACAGAAAGGCTAATTGGTGTCAACTAATAAGTGGCTAAGGAAACTATCTCTCCTTACTCTTAATCCCTTCACCTAAAGAAACAACAACAAAAAAAAACCTCATCAAGCCTTAAAGGATCAGTTTTCAGTTTCTGCTGAACCAGCCTTGTTGTCTAAGGTTCCCAGGATGATGTGACCAAAACAGCTAGTGGGAAAACTACTGGTGAACACGCAAGGAGACAACCAATAACGATAAGCTCTTAACTCACCCTAAAAGAAATTACTCTCTTCTTCCAGGAGCATAAGTTATGAGAAAGCTACCAAGATTCCCAACAGACACAACTTAAAATCTCGTGGCTTCAGAGTGTCACCCAGTGGTGACACCAAGAGATGCAGGGTCCATCTGCGATATGAAACAGCACAGAGGAAAATCGTTTTCTCACAATATTGCAGCTCTGAGGACAGAGGGTTGGCGTGAGGCGAACGCGGGGTGGGGGGTGGGGGGGCAGAACCGAGTGGAAAACCTCGAAACACTTTTAAATCTGAGGTGTCTTTACTTTTCCTCATTCTAGAGGCCTTCTTAACCTCAGGTTTTTACGGGGAAGTCTCTTCTCCAGGCCGCCCCCAGGCTTCAAATTTCGCCCAGGGGGAACAGACCACCGCCTAGAAAAAGGGGATGGGAGCATTTTCTGGATCGTGTTTAGTACATATTCCCACAGAAGTACACAAAAACGTCATGAGAACCTTAGCTCTGGACAACATGGGCAAGCATTCACCCTGGGAGGAAAAAGGGCTCCCGGGTCCGGCGTGGGGCGAAGAGGAGGGACCACTGACGTAACGCAGCTCTGGCGAGAAACGAGTAGAACAGGTAGAAGGCACTAGCGCGACCTGGTGGGAAAGGGTGGCTGACGATACAGTGATGGAGAAGTGGGCAGAAATAACAAGTGAAGACAACAGTAAAACCGTGAGAAATGGGAAATGGGGGAAGGCGTAATGGAAAAGGGAGGCACAAAAGAACTGCGGCGGGAACCGTAAAACACAGTGGAAAAGGCTTTTAGGTGAACGTATAGGAGAAAGCGCAAGCCACGCTGCTGAATTCAGCCCCCAGAAAAGTCCAGCTCAACCCTGCCCCTTCTCTACAGTACCTTCAGCTTATGGAGCTCCACTGTCTCCGCCGCCATCTTGGTGCCCCTCCACCCCGCTAGGCCCCCGCCCGCTGCCTCCGCCTCCAGGAGCTCCCGCCTAGGCGTAGAGAACCTTGGTCAGCCAATCGCTGACACGTTTACTCCCACAGCGTACTATCAGCCCTTCCCATTGGCCAATAGCCGCCGTCGCTCTCCCATCTCTCGACGGCTCTCCCCGGCTCCCAAAAGGCGGAGTAGCCAGGAGGGTGGGTTCTGCATCTTCCGAAGGACAGAAATGTGGACCAACTGCGCTTCCCCACAGCAGATCACCAGCCAACGGGTAGTGGCAGCGCCGATTCTGGTCCGCCAATAGAGGGAGCGCGGCTGCAGGGACAGCCGCTTCCTGGAGACTACAGGTGTAGGAGCGAGCGCCGCGCCCCTGGCCGGACGGGCTGGTGAAGCAGGCAGGTAGGGGACCCGAGACGCTGGTCAGTGGTACTGAGGAAAATCGGGGGGAGGTGAGGAAGGGGCGGCGAGTTGAATACTGAGAAGGGAACGTTATATAGAGCCCTGAAAGGAACCTACGAACGCGAGAGGGAGCCTGGGAGAAGCGTGGGCTGGGCTCCGGACTGGAGTTGAGGGAATTTCAGGGCCGGCCAGAGCTCCTTCCTAACCAGGCATCTTCAGCTTTAGAGCTCAGACGGTCAGAGCCACCTGGGGCTGCGTCTCTAGAGATTTTAAGCTCCGGTCCCTTCTTAGTCCAAGCCAAAAGCCGTGGGCAAATACTTGCGGCATCTACGCTCGACAGAAGGAAAGAGAATGCTGACTGCTTACATGCCAAAAATGGGCGCGACAGGGCGGACAGGCCCGACAGAAGAGGTGGGGAGGCAGAAGGTGGGCACCAGCGGCAGCTTGACTGCCCTTCTCGGTGGTTCTGATTGCACGACTCTCAGAACTCTGCACGCATGTGAATTCTTCACGATTCCTCATTAACTTCTTCAGCGAAGGAAAGGGAGCTACTGCCATTTGCTTCTCCTTGAAGTGCATGGCCCGAGCCTAGGCTTATTCCTTCATGTCAGGGCGAGGATCAGAGTAAAAACGACCATGTCTCTACAGTGTAGGAAGGGATATTCTTACCTTTTTCTTTCTTTCTTTTTTTTTTTTTTTTTTTTTTTTAAGATTTACCTATTTACTTGAAAAGAGCGGGAGAGGGAGAGATCATACATCCACTGGTTCACTCCCCAGATGGCCACAATGGCTGAGACCTGGAGCCAAGAGCTCCATCCCGGTCCCCACCATGGGTGGCAGGGGCCCAACCACTTGGGCCACCTTCTGCTGCCTTCCCCAGGCCCACCAGGAGGGAGCTGGATCAGCACTGAGCAGCTGGGACACAGACCAGTGCCCGTATGCAATGACTGTATGCAGGTGACAGTTCAACCCGCTCCACAGGCCTGTCTTCTCTTAAAGTTTTTCCTGGGTCTTTGGTTTTTCCATTCTGCATGAGAAAGCCATTTCATTCCCCATAAAGTGCAGGGGATTTGGGCTCCTTCAGAAACAATGGGGGAAACACTCTGAAAGAGGGGTTGAGAGGAAACAGTTGGGACTCCTGCCTGACGCCCCCACTGCGGTAGGATGAATGTGGGGGTGGCGCACAGCGAAGTAAATCCGAATACTCGAGTGATGAATAGCCGGGGCATCTGGTTGGCCTACGTCATCTTGGTAGTACTGCTGCATGTGGTTCTACTCAGCATCCCCTTCTTCAGCATTCCTGTTGTCTGGACCCTGACCAACGTCATCCATAACTTGGTGAGCACTAAACCACGCCCTTGTACCCACCCCAGACCTTTCCCAACCAAAACCAAAATCACCAATTGTTTGGGGATGTCTTCCTCTTGGGCTGAAGGGCTACTTTCTGCCCCTCACACTGGCCGCTTCTCTCTTCCTAGGCAATGTATATTTTCCTACATACAGTGAAGGGGACACCCTTTGAAACGCCTGACCAAGGAAAGGCTCGGCTACTGACGCACTGGGAACAGATGGACTACGGCCTCCAATTTACTTCTTCTCGCAAGTTCCTCAGCATCTCTCCTATTGTACTGTGAGTCTATGGGAAGTAGGGGAGATGCTGGGTTAGAAAGAACTCCAACAGCCAGGTGAAGAGGCCCATAGGGGAAGCTTTAAAAAAGCAGACTACTCAGCACTCTGCTTGGGATACGCACATCCCATATCATCCAGTACTGGAATGCCTGGGTCATTGTCCCCACTCTGCTTCGGATCCAGCTTGCTCCTAATGTGCACTATGGGAGGCAGTAAATGATGCCTCAAATACCTGGATCCCTGCCACAAACATGAGACCCAGATGGCGTTCCAGGCTCCTGGCTTCAGCCTGGCCTAGGCAGACTATTGCTGACTTTTGAAGTATGAACCAGCAGATAGAAGATACTTCTCTCTCCCTCCCTCTCTTTCACTCTTTCAAATAAATAAAACTTTAAAAATATAAAAAAGAAGACTATGTAAGTCCCCTTGAAGATATTGTGGTATACTACTAGTTCTGAGCTTACGAAGAGCAATAAAAGCAGCATTCCTTGCTGCCTCCTTGGTAGTAGGGAAATGGAGAAGGGACTGAGAAAAGATCAAATGTAAACTAATACCAAGTGATCAAGAAACAGAAACTAGCATATACTCTCCTATTAAAGGTGCTGATTATCTCCTCAGCCCCCAAGTTGATAAACCTGGAATATTTTAGATATCCTAGGACTATATGCAATAAAATTAGTTATTTAAAATAGAACAGGAGGCAGGCGTTTGGCTTAGTAGTTTAGATGCCTACATCCCCCAGCTGGGTGCCTGGGTTGGCTACCCAGCTCTAGCTCCTGACTTCAGCTTCCTGCTAATGTACACCCTGGGAAGCAGCAATGATGATGGCTCAAGTCATGGGAAACCTGGATTGAGATTGTAGCTCCCAGCTTCCTCTCCAGCATAGTCCCAACTGCTGAGAGTGTTTGGGGAGTGAGCCAGTGAATGGGAGCTCTTTGTCTGTTTCTGTCTCTGCCTCCTAAATAAGTAATTTTAAAAATAATAAAAGACAAAGTCTTTGAGAAGGCATGAATATGGATAGGGAAAACCAATCTCACTCCTGTTTTCTCTCTCCCCAGCTACCTCCTGGCCAGCTTCTACACCAAGTATGATGCTGCTCACTTCTTCATCAACACAATCTCACTTCTTAGCGTTCTGCTTCCTAAGTTGCCCCAATTCCATGGAGTTCGTCTCTTTGGCATCAACAAATACTGAGGGGTGGGACTGGAGAGCTTCGCAGGTGTGGGGAAGGCCTTGGAACAAAGGGCTATAAGCATCCTTCCATTCTTCTCCATTCTGTTTTCTGTACCTTGAAAGCCTTTGAACTATACAATCTTTCCCAAACTCCTAGGAAGGGAAGAGATTGGAAAATGGGCTCCATGGTCCAGCCCTGCTAAAGGCATCTTTCTTTGAATTAGAAAAGGTGGATGAGGCTAAGGGCCAAATCACCCTTCTCTACAGCAGGAAGTCACGTTAGGACAGCTTTTCCGGTGATGATGTTTCTTCATGTCTTTCACCCCTGCTACCTTCCAGGCCTGTTTTGTTGTGTATTTTCCTTACAATAAAGGTAAATTTTTTCAGCTATGGCTGCAATTTGATCAGCAGAAAGGAAGGGAAATACCCTCTAAGGCTGGGGAGGAAAGATGAAATACTGACTGAATGTACAGAACTTTAAGTAAAATGTATCCCCTCTCCTTTGATCCAGTAGGAGGTGCCCTTCACTCTCAGCTTATTCGGTAGGGAAAGGATTCTCAAGTGAGAAAAGGGCTCCGGCTATATGGGCAAAGAAGAGAGGGAAGATACAGGTTGCCAGTTACATATTTATAGAAAGATACTCTCCTGGCTTTAAATAGATATGTACATACAAAATGAACAAACTTAAAAAAATACAAACCCTTGGATCACAAGGGGGCATCTGGGAGCCCCTTCTGTATTCCCCCTCACCCAAGGGCAGAGGGCATGAGTCTGCTTTTTAAAAATTAATTTTGGCCATCCTTGCAGTAAGACTGGAGGTGGATGACTTACCCACAAGGTGAAAGAGGAAAAACAACAGTTTCCTCTCTCTGAAGTCTGCACTTTTTAAAATTAGGGCTTTTAACTAGCGCATCAAGGTAAAGAAGGAGGCTGCCTCCTGAATGCATCAAGAAATAAGATAAACTCATAGTTTTGAAGGGAGGAGGGGGAGTATCATCTGCTCTAAAAGCAGATGTCAAGAAAAAGGCATATGGACCACAGGGAAAGAACCAGTTCCCACATCTCAAAGGGAATAATTGTCCAACCCTAGTCCAAACCCTAGGTTCTTCACTCTAACCACCCCCTGTTTCTTTGGTATTGTCAGAAGACAAGATTCAGTTCCTGGATGCTAGGGGAAGAGAGGGAGAGTGCTTCAGGGTCTTTCTACAAGTACTGAGTGAACAATTTAAGCTTAAAATTTTCCCTTTTTAAAATATTTAAAAATAAACCAATCAAACTCCATCCTGTGCTGTACACAGCCCTTTTGACTCCCTGACATTGATTTGAGGAAAAGGGGGGAGGGCAGGGTGGGGATCAACGTTGGAAGGGCCTCCTCACTTTCTTCCGCCGTTTTGGTTTGGCTTCCCCCTTGGGTACTGTGCTGTTGGGTTTTGAGGCTGCAGTGGTCCCAGGGCCAGGCTGAGGAGCTGCAAAGAAATTCCCATTCGACATTTGGCCTGGAGGTACTTGAAAGATCCTGTTCAAGAAATCCTGAAGGTCAGCAGGAGGGCTATCTGGAGTGGCTCTGAGAGGAAACACAAGAATAATAAGACAGGAGATTAGAGTGAAAAATACCCTGAGTCAGTACCCAAGCTTCCTAGAAAGTAAGGCATTTAGGTATTCCTGAACACCAGTCATCCGAAACCGTAATCAGAACTGGAAAAGCAGATAGATCACTACTGAGAGAAATAACACCTACCTCTGCCGCCCACTGGTGCCCGGAATCCGAGAACCAAACGAGATGTGATAGGGGACTCTGTGGGTATCTGGGGAGATTCCCACACGCTGGCATCCAGCCCACTCTGCAAACAGGAAAATAATTAGCTACAACATCACAGTTGTAGCACTCAGGAGATCATGAAGTATGAGCCCATATTTCTTAGAGACAGAGTGTACCTGTGATGTCATACACCTTTCCATCCATCAGTGCAAAGTAGGTGATCTTGAGACCCAACATGCTTGACTCTGCCCAAAAGTCTCCTTCCTCAGCCGGATGCAGCCGATTGCACTCAGCACAGTATCTGGCACTCTTAGCATCCCGATCCATTTCAAACCTCCTGTAACCCAACACAAGGATAAGTCCTTAATTTGTCAACTCTGCTGTGCCAATGCTCTCATCAGTACTGAAAAATATGGCTGACACAACTAAAATTATCTCCATGTAAAGTTGTTTTATATGCCTTTTTATACCCTGCCCTCAACCTTCTATCTTAAAGCTAATTTTTCTTTCTACCAATGCCGTACTTCAAAGGCTTAATCTCGTGATGGAATAGTAAAGGCAGAAGCCAGGGGTATTTTTGCTCCTCCTCTGTACCCCACAATTACTAGTGATATTCACAAGGAAGGTCTCTGTTATCTAGTCCCTGAGCTGTGGCTGTCCCATCCCTGTCCTATTTCATACCTATGCTTTCCTTGGCATCGACTGCACATCATAGTATTCATCGCTTCCTTAAGGTCATCTTGTAGCTTGGAGAGAAACTCATTCACTGACCGACTCAGCTCATTCTCTGCCATTCGTTTCCTAAAAAAGAAAGGCTTTGTTAAGTAGTTGAATATTGAGGGAAATGCAAAGAAAGATCTTTTGGCTTCTTGAAGCCCCTCACTAGCTAGAAAAGAACTTCAGTTCTCTTCACCTCAAAGAGCCTCCACCCACAAGTCTAAGGGCCTTGTCAATTGATTTTTCGGGGCCGGCGTTGTGGCGCAGCAGGTAAAGCCACCATCTCAGACGCTAGCATCCAGTATGGGCACTGGTTCAAGTCCTGGCTGTTCTACTTCCAATCCAGCTCCCTGCTAATGTGCCTGGGAAAGCAGTGGAAAATGGCACAAGTCCTTGGGCCCCTGCACCCATGTGGGAGACCAGCAAGAAGCTCCTGGCTCCTGGCTCATTGAGCCCATTTAGGAAGTGAACCAGTGGATGGAAGATCTTTTTCCCCTCTCTGTAACTGTACCTTTCAAATAAATAAAACCGTTTTTTTTTTTTAATTGAGGATTTTTCATTGACCTCACCTGACATTATTCCCATCTCCAACTTACATCTCATATTCCTTCCGCCTTTCAGGGTTGCTGACAATGTCCCAAGCTGACCGTAAAACCTTGAAGGCCTCCTCAGCCCGAGGATGATGATTTTTGTCAGGGTGAACCTATCAAAAAAGATTTCATCACAGAGCCATTCCAAACCCCTTCCTAACTTGGGTCTATTCTCATATCAAAGGTTTCTCTTTCATCACCCTTCGCAAGAGTCAATATAGCTTACTGATTAATTGTTCTAGCTCTGCTTGAACCTAAGTTCAAGCCCGGTTGTGTCATTTGTTAGCTACATGATCTTGAATATTTTACCCAGCACAGATTTTTGAAAGGATTAAGTAATAGAGACGAGGTACACAGCACAGAATCTGGCACTAGGATGATCCACTATCCCAGTTTGCCTGAGGCTGCTCCAGTATGGCATTGAAAAGTCTCATGTCTCAGGAAACCCCCATGATACCAGGTGAATAGGAATGACTGGTCACCCTACTTGGTCCACACATACTTGGTAGCTTTGGGATCCGCATGGAAGGAAGACCTACACTTCCGGGAATGGAAAGTTCCTACCTGTACTTGTGGGGGAAGAAAAGTCTGTCAAAGTCCCTGCAGGTGCCTAAAGGTCAACCAATGAGGATCAGACCCACCTCAACCTTTAACCCCCATGCCCTGAATCTATAAAAGGAGTTCTCCCAATCTCTGACGCGAACGCGACTTCCCCGCCTGCCCCCCCCCTTGCTCTGTTGGGACTGGGGAACCTCACAGGGGAGCGGAAGCCCAATAAAAGCCTGTGAATTAATTGATTCGTCTGCCTGGGAAGATTTGTTATGCGCCGGACACCTTGCAATACTAAGTCCTTGCATTTTCATTTTATTATTAGTCAAAGTAAGAATTCCAAAAGTGTTACATCCTTCAGATTATTCTTTAACTAGAAAATTCCCATATCCAAAACTTCCTACAGTCATCTGCCTTTCTGTCCCATGAGGCTTTTTATACACTTACCAACCTTTCATCTAACACAAATAGTATCCTCTCTTCCTACAGCTTCCTGTTGGTTCCCATCTCCACTCCCCAAAAACAGATAAAGCTAGTCTCCTCACTGATGCCAAAGAAGAATGCTGTCAAACTTCCCACGTTCTCAAGCTAACAACACCCTTTTAGATATGTTCACACTGAGGCCTAGTAAAGGTAGTAGGAACCACACATAAAAAGAAACCAACAGACACCAGGGCTCAAAGCATGAGAGAACTCTGGGATGTAAGGCAGATGTATGCATGATGGGAAACTTAACTACATTTGTACTGTAAGAAAAGTCAGTTAAAAATTATAATTGTCTGGGGCTGGTGCTGTGGTGTAGTGGGTTAACGCCCTGGCCTGAAGCACCGGCATTCCATGTGGGCGCCAGTTCTAGTCCCGGCTGCTCCTCTTCCAATCCAGCTCTCTGCATGGCCTGGGAAAGCAGTGGAAGCTGGCCCAAGTCCTTGGGCCCCTGAACCCGCGTGGGAAACCTGGAAGAGGCTCCTGGCTCTTGGCTTTGGATTGGCGCAGCTCCGGTCATTGCAGCCAATTCAGTAGTGAACCAGCAGATGGAAGACCTCTCTCTCCCTCTCCTCTCTCTGTGTAACTCTGACTTGCAAATAAATAAATATTTTTTAAAAAATTATAATTTTCCTAAGAACAATATCCTCAAGAGTGAGTTTCTGCTTAAAAAAAAAAAAGTGAAGGTGAGAAAAGAGCCCTACTATTTAGTAACCAGCTCACAGTGAGCAGTTGTCAACCCACTCCAAGAATAACCCAGGCTATCTCTTCACAGCATACATTTCCCACCAAACTGAATAACACTTTGCTATTGTTATAGGCCCGGTAGTTTATTGTATCTGTTATCATTAGTGGGAAACTTGGGTGCCCACTCCTCTTTGGCATCATACAACCCCTTGGATAACTGGCAAACTGTGATGTTTCAACAGTTCAGCTCCATACACTCAGTAAAAACAGGACTTCAGTGCAATTTACACACATTACTTACATTCATAATGTACCGAAGTAGCAATAACAATCATGTATCTCATAATAGCAGCCTAATATCTACTTCTAATAGCAATTTGCATGCTTACATTAAATCATTTCCCTCAAGCACCTACCACATCTCCTCTGCACATGCCCTTATCAATAAAAGCAACCAAATTTTCATGTAGGACAAGCACATGTGTACACCTCTCATATTTCCGCTTCATTTTCCTTCCCCTTCATATGCTGATTTGCTGGTCTTGAAATAGCCTTTTTTTTTTTAATTTATTTTTTTAATGTATTTGAAAGGCAAAGTGACAGGTGGGGAGTGGAGGCAGGGAGAGGCAGAGAAAAGAAATCTTCCATCCAAGGGTTCACTCCCCAAATGGTTGCTACAGCCGGGGAGCCAGGAGCCCAGAACTCCAGCTGGGTCTTTCACATGGGTGGCAGAGGCCCATGGCCCATCCTCTGCTGCCTTCCCAGGTTCATTAGCAGGGAGCTGGAAAAGAAGCAGAGCTCAAACCATGTTCCAATATGGGATGCCAGCATTGTCAAAATGCTGGCCCTAGCCTGTTTTCTTTTACCTGGCCCTAGAATAATTACATGCATTCCCTGAACCCTCCTGCACTTGTTCTATACTTACTCCTTAATTTGGGAGAGATGGATTTTCCCATGTTTAAAAAACCCTCTTGGAGTGGCATTTGTTCTAGAAGTTGAAGACAGCAGTAGGACACTCATGTCCCACATCAGAGAACATGGGTTTGACTCCCTGCCCCAGCTTCTGATTCCAGTTTCCTGCTAAGGCAGGCCCTGAGAAGCAGCAGTGATGGCTCAAATAGTTGAGTCCCTGACACCATGTGGGAAACCTGGATGGAGTTCCCAGCTCCCAGCTCTGGCCCCTCAGGCACTACAGGCATTTAGGGAGTGAACCATTGGACGGAAGCTCTGTGTCTCTGCCGCTAAAAAAAAAAAAAAAAAAAAAAGGAAGAAAAAAAAACCTTTCTTTTCTTCAGTTGAGAGCAAATGAGGTATTTCTGACTAGGCCTCTACCTTACTCTAGTTAGAGGAACTTTAGATATTCCAGGATGAATGAATGCAACACTGCCTGTTATACCAGATTAAATCTTCCCCCTTCCCACCCCATAACACACACCAAAAAAAAAAAAGAAAGAAAGAAAACCTGAAATAGAAGGTCAGATCCCACAGCACAGAGGGAAAAAGTTTGTGATGACTTTTTTCTAAGAATGTTACCCTTAAGCTTCTAAAAAAAAAAAAAAAAAAAAAAAATACGGAATAAAGAAGAGCAAAAAGGCAGGGTACTCACCATCACTGCCAGCTGCCGATAGGCCTTCTTCAGTTCAACGTCTGATGCTGTGGCTTCAACCCCCAACACAAGGAAAGGGTTTAGCTCAGCCTCAGGAACCCCAGCCATGGTCAAGAGTCGAGCCACTTCCTCTTCAGGTTGACAGTTCCGCCCACCAGCTACAGGTGCATTCCCCTGTCTATTAGTCCTCTGCTTGACCCAAGGCAACTCCAGCCAACCCCGCTGAACTATTCTTACAAGCTGCTGCCATGGCCTGCTGTCTCTGAGCCAAGACAAGCAACGCTGGAAGGTCGGAGAGTCCAGCCAAGAGAAGAGCCAGGTGGCCTTATCCCTCCAGCCTAACTGGTCGCCCAATCCCACCAGAAATCGCCACCCCAACTGGAGACAGCCCAAAAAGAGGGCCAGAGCCAGAAGCAGCAAAGCACCCAGTAGCCTAAGAAAGCGGGTGAGCAGTCCTGCCCCGACGTACAAGGTGTGGTTTAGAGACTGGGTCATCACCTGGGCCCAGCCTCCAAGCCGTCCTGCCCAGACTCCCACCCACACCCTAAAAAGGTCCAGATCACTGCCTTTCAGCTGCCTGCATGCATAGATGAGATGACCACAGGTTTCCACGTACTCTCCCACCAGTGCCAGCAGTTCAATGAGCCACCGGAAGCCTGCGTGTCCGAGCTGACACAGTTCCTCTGCTCCCCACAGTCCCAGGCCTCTGCGCTTCTCAGCCTGACTCCGTTTGCGGCTCAAGCGATGTCGACCTGGGGACCTGGGATCTCTGCGTCCACCCTCCCGGGTATCCTCCTTGGTTGGGAGGCGGTGCCTCTGTCTCCGGGATGGAGCTTTCTTTCCACCGGACACACGTGAAAGATCACTGGGGAACTTAAGGGGTTCCTCATCATCATATTCTTCTTCCAACTCTTCTTTCCCCAAGGCTGGAGAGGTACAATGGTGGCAAAAGTTGCTCGAAGAGCCGTCTGCCCCCTCAGAGTAAGGCCCTTCTGGGACCCCAGGGCTCCCCTGGCAGTTGCAAGCAGATGGAATGGAAAAAAAAGCAGGGGTCCCCTCCTCCTGGTACCCAGCCTCATTCTCTCTTGAGAGGTCCTGGTCAACTCCGGAGTCCTCTGAGGACGCCTCACTCTGATCAGGGTCTTTTCCATCCCTAGGTGGTCCTGGACCCCTCGGGGGAGCCATGGCTTGGATCCGACCAGTGAGCTGGGTTTGGGGTCTGGGTGTACTTAGGACCAGAGTGTTCTGGGAGGCAGCGGGTACCATTAGAAGCAGTCCCTGTTGAGTCCCTGAGTCCTGAGAAAGAAAGTATTTCAGGGCCCACGGAGGGTCCTAAGGTCCTGAGGGAGGCACCACTGCTGTAGTGGGCTCCGCACAAGCCTCCTTCTCCGGGGTGCTTCTGGGCCATGACCCCGGGGCTTCCTGAGGGTTTTAAGTCACAGCCATCACGGTAAGTTCTGAAGCCTGTAACAGAGACAGCAAGGCAAGGATGGGACCAGGAGAGCAGTTAAACAGTCTCAAACTGGGGACAAATTTAAGGCACCCACCTTTCTGGTTCTCTCAAGTTCTGTTCTTTCCAGGCATTCGCCACACTAGCAGTTAAGTCAGAACCAGACCAACCACGACACCACATGCTCCCTCCCCGCTCCTTCAAATCTCCTTAATTTTTCCTTCTGGCCCCACAGACCTATCATCTTAAATAACAGGAAGGGGGAAGTACCTCAAAGGGTGTGGTCCGGGGCGAGGGTCACTCTTAGGGAAAAGGGAAAGACGGCCGAAAAGAGGGGCCGCAGGCTGCCAGAAAAGGGTGGGGATCGTGCGGCCCTTAGAGGAAAACGTGGAGGCGGAGCCCAGGATTGCCGCGGAGAAAGGCCTCCAGGTAACTCACGGGCTGGGTAGAAGCGGCGACGGAAACGTACCGAAGAGCGGCGGTAACTCCTCCCCCGCGAGCAGCTGGGCCTGGGGCCAGGGGGAGCTACGAGCGCAGCTCCCCCGGCTCCGCCTCCCGCTCACGCTCCGCTTCCGCCTTCCGTCCCCGCCGCGACAGCCGACCTGCTCCTACTTCCACCTCCGGGGTCACCACGAAAGAGACGGGAAGGAAAAGGGAAAGCGGTTGGGCGAGGCGCGAGCCAGTCCGAGCCGTGTCAGCGAGGGCGGGCCTAGGGACTCCCTGACCCCACCCCTTAAAGGGCCCTGTGCTGCAGTCCCCCGCGTGCTGTGAGGGGGTGCCCGAAGGTTACACCGCTAGAAGCGGAGCAAGCGGTCTCTGCAGTAACGCCTGCGGACTCTGAGGGTTGCTTTGCCGAGACTGGTCGCGGTGGACAACTCCTGAACCATACATAGCCCGCTTCCCTTGCATACAAAACCTAGGAACCCAGAGGCGTCACCGCCCCGATGCCCTCTTTGCCGACTGCCGTGAGGACAGAGGCCTCTTTGTGTCCTGCAAAAGTGGAGCGGAGGAGAGGACGCCTCCGGCTAGCCCCCGCCCTGGCCCGGCAGCGCTGTCCCCCCCCTTTCCCAGCAACCCTCCGGAGCCCGACCCAGCTGGCGAGCTGCCCCCAGTGACTGCAGCTCTCACGGCTTGGATCCGCCCCTCCGGACGGTGCTTCCAGGCCCGATCACGGAACGGGGTCAGGGGGACTGAGAGCGCAGTTCCACTGGGGCCGAGAACCATTGCCGAGTGCCAAGGAACACTGGACTCTTCTGCCTGCTGCTTTGCATCTCATTTGCATACCGAGCCCTACGGGCAGCGTCGACTCGAGACCCCCCTCCCCCTCGCGGACCCTAAATGGTCCCCTTCTCTGCACACGACTTCAGCCTTACAGCGATCTTGTCAGCGCCCCTTCCAGACCCCGTCTTGATCTGCAAGTCTGGCACTCATGAGCCCCCCACCGGCGCCCCCAACCAGTGAAAGCCCCTTCCCCGGGTCCCCGATCCCGACCACCCGGTTCTCCAGAAGACAATACTCCAATTCTCTGGGAAGTGGAAGAAACCAAGCCGAAGCGAGGGGGGCGCTGGGACCTCAGTTGGGATTCTGAGAGCTTCCAGTTGTCCAATCTTCTCTGAAGTATTCAGAGATCTTTCCCCTAAACCCTTTGCGACGCCCTACAAGACCCTTCCCCGATATACTTGGAGGTCTCTGGTCCCAAACTGGAGCAGAATGCAACCCGAGTCCCCCCCACGCACAGAGGAAAGAGTTGGAGGGGCCTGCCCCGTGATGTCACCCCCTCCCCAACACACACATGCACACCCTGTCCCCTTCCTCCACCTCCTAAGCTAGTTGCATTGGCTCACAGGGCTTGAGCTGCGACTTGCAAGAGTTTAGGGGCAACGAGCAGAGTGGCCCTGGGGGTACCCACATCCAACAAGCCGTTCCAGTGCCTGGGACCTCAGGGCGGGGATGCAGCTGGGAGCCTAGGGAAGCACTTCCACCTCCCCCCTCCTCAGCCGTGGCAGGGTGGTGAGTAGTTAACACTCCCTCCCCAACTTCCCCTTGTTTAGGCTCCCCAAACTTCCAAGCAGATTAAGGAGAGAAACCCCAGAATTCCTCATGCCAATGTCTCAGGTTGTTGGGTCCTTGATGTCCAAAAGACAGCTAAAGGAAAGTACCTACATCTATGCTACCCACTCCCACGGTGCCCCAGATGCCACCCCCTCCTCAGTGTGCCCCTTGCGGGACCTGCACTGAAATCCCATTAGCAGCTCCGACACCCTTGGGGAAAGGGAGGGGTAGGAAAAGTCCCGAGGGGAGGAGCAAGAGCTACCAGGATGTGAGACGTCTGTGGACAAGGCTCCCGCTCATTGCATGAGGGGCCTTGGGATACTGACCGTCTGGCTGGACGCCCTTTCCGGGACGGGATCCATGTCAGCATGAAGCTGAGACTTTAAAACCCTGACAAACTGGGTGATTGTTGCCACTTAATTCCTTGTCCCAAACTCTTAGTGTCTTTTTTTTTTTTTTTTTTTTTGCCCCCTTTCTTCCCTGGGTTTGGAGCCACTGTCAGAAGACCCTACCATGACTCATTCTCTCCTCTTCTTCCTCCCTCTCCCCCCTCTATTAACCCCACCCTTGCCAATCCAGTGGGGTAGCATTGAGTCTCAGCTGCAGATGGGGCAAGCTTTCCTTTAAGCTAGAACAGGATGCTGGGACTTTAGCCCCTAGTCCTCTTAGTGCCTCTGCACCCCTCCCTACAAAGACCTGGGGCTTCCCAGACCTCCTGCCCTCACCCCAGAAAACTGGAAGGGAAAATCTCTTACCTTAGCAGATTTTCATTTAAGTTTTATTCAGTGCCTTTGTTTTAGAGGGTGGTGGAGAGACATCCCGCTCCCTTCACCCCACTGCTATAGATTTCTGTAATCACCCCAGCAGGGGCTGTGCTCCCTCTTGAAAGTGGCCATTCCTCAGAAGTAGAGGTGGAGTCCCTGTTTGCTGCCCCCTTGCAGGTTTCCCAACACCCTCAAGACATTCCTGGATGGATGAGAGGACCTGACACGGACCCACGCCGAAACCACCTTCTCTTTGGCCATGGAGGAGGACGCCTTCTTTCCCCTGGCTCTGACATCCGACTCAAGGGCCTTTAATCAACAACTCCCAGAGCCTCCGGACCCAAGATGTGTCTTGGAACCCCAGAACAATCCTGAACTGGCACCTGCCCTGGTGTGTGCCCTCTGCTGCTGTTTTGGAATCATCTACTGCTGCTTCGGTGAGGGCAAGACCAAGGTCCCGGAAAGGGGTGGCTGCCCAAGACGGTCACTCTCAGCCATGATGCCGACTTTCTGCTTGGCTTTGGGGCCACTCTGTCGGGGGGTGCCTGCCTTCAAGGGGGCCCACGCCGCCCTTGCCAGCTCCTTGACCATCCCCCACGCTCACGCCCCCAGCTCTGACCTTTGGTGTCCCTCACTTGCCCTCCTCCTCCTCCTTCTCCTGCTGCTCCAAGTCTCACTTCCAAATCATCCTCCATGCTAATACTCCTGCACCCCTCTTCCTAGCTGCCATCCTGGGAAGATCAGACCTTCTTTCTGCACTTACTCTCCCTGGCGCATCCATCTTACCTCCCAATGTGCCCTTTCATCCCCTTACAGTTCTGAGACCACCATGCCCACCTTGCCCTCCCTGCGTTTGTCTCTTTCTGCCCCTCGCCTTGAGGTCCTTGGTGTGCTGCTCGTGTCCTCTGCCCCTCTGGGTAGTCATTCCTTTCCCTCCCGCTCCATCACCTGTCCGCCCCCACACCGTGTCAAGCCCCCTTTCTGCATCTCAGTGCCTCCTGCCTCCCTTCCCAGGCTACCGCTGCTTCAAGGCAGTGATGTTTCTCTCGGGCCTGCTGTCGGGAGCCCTGGTGATCTTCCTGTTGTGCCACAAGGAGCAAGTGCTGGAGACACAGCTGAGCCTGGAGGTGAGCGCAGGCATCGCACTGGGCATCGGACTCCTCTGTGGCCTGGTCACCATGCTGGTTCGCAGTGTCGGGCTCTTCCTGACTGGTCTCCTGCTAGGTCTGACCGTGGGCGCCGGGACTCTGCTGGGCACTGAGCCCATCTACCAGCCACCTTCAGCCTGGGTGCCAGCTGGGGCGCTGGTGGGGCTGGCACTGCTGGGAGCCCTGCTCACGCTTCGGTGGCCACGTCCGTTCACAGTTCTGGGCACAGCCCTGCTGGGTGCTGCAGTGCTGGTGGCCTGTGCTGACTACTTCCTGGAGGGACTGGTGCTGGGCAGTCGGCTGGGCCAACGCCTGCAGGCACTTCCGGCCTTGCCTCCTCTCTGCTGGTATAGCTGGGTCTTACTGGGGACCTGGCCAGCCTTGGGGGCTCTTGGGGCCCTGGCCCAGTGGAAACTCATGGCCGAGGAACACGGAGGTCACGCCAATGGTGAGTTAGCGCTGTGGTAGGTACAGAAGCAGCCAACCTGTGCCTACTCGTGTCCTCAGTTCCCAGACTTGGGGAGGGGGGGGGGGGAAATGGCCTGGAGGTGGGGGAAGGCCCTCCAGAGTAAATGCCACAGGGAATTAAGAGAAGGCTGGAGTCGAAGGAGCCAAAAGAGGGCTGGGCAAAAAGGAGGAGAGAAATTGTGAGGGGGAGGCAGGGAGGAGCTTTTCAGAATGGTCGTGGAAGGAGAGGAGGATCTCAGGGAGAAGCAAGAGCAAAGAGTAGGAGAATTCTAAAGAGGCATTTCTCCTAGGATATAGGGAGAAAGGTGAGGCTTGAGAAAACCATAACAGATCAAATGGGCTTCTCTAGGGAGCACATGTGTTGGGGGGTAGGAGGGAGGAGGGTCTACAGAGGCATCCTCGAGTCCACATTACCCTCCCAAGCAGGGGTGGTGAGCCGTCAGCAAAGGCATCTCCAGCTCCTTCGGCTCCACCAGCAAGAGGCCAAGTGGCACCGGAGCCCCCCTGGGGCGGGGCTTTGTGAGGGAGGCTGTCGGCGACAGCCGCTCCCTAGTGCCCGAAGCCCTGCCGACAGTCTGGCTCCGGTGAGTGGGAGCTGGGGCACCCCAAGGGGTGGGGTACAGCATATATGGATGGGGAGGGTCAGGGTGGGAGGGAGACTCTGACGCAGGCCCCGCCTCCCCCCTCCAGAGTTTTCTCCAGAGTCTTCGAGACCGCCAGCTGGGACCAGGAACCCAGGCCACAGCCCCGCATACCACCTTGGACTTGTATTCTGACTGCGGTTCCACTGTACCTCTCACCACACCCTCTGGCCCCACCCAGACCGGACCTTAAACCTCCACGGTCGCCCCTAACCCTAGTGAAGGCCTGGAGACACTCAGTGGACGGGCCCTGAGCCCAGGGGACCCGCACACAGACTCTAGGGGACCCGCACACAGACTCCCCCACCTCTTGGATTTGGGGATAGGATCGGGGCTCTACCCCAGACCAGCTGTGGAGGGATATGTTTCTGGGACACATAGGAATCTGGTGGGGTCGGAAGGGGATGGTGAGGAATGGAAATAGTAGCACCTACCTCTGTCCAGCAATAGAGGTGCCCTCACACCCAAAGAAACTGACCCCCTAATTCTCTCCAAACCAAGGAGGATCCTTGCCCAAACAGCTTCTTAAATGCCTGCTCCAATGTGCCACACGGTGGTAAAACAAGGGGTCTTGTTTTTCTAGGACTTACAGAAAATCAGGTAGCCTCCCATGGCATTTGAAAGCTTTTTAATGGGGAGAGGAGTTCCAGGATCCCCCAATCCCCAGGTCTCCCACTAGGAGGTCACCGGGTTTCTTGTCGGCCTTTTGCCCTGCACCCCATAGGACTGAGCCCCCTTCTTCTACCTCAGTTGGGAGCACTACCCACCGTGGTGCCTCAGTTTCTCTGCTTCCCGATCTAGGGAAGAGCACAGAACCATGCCCGCCTCAACACCACCTCCCCCTAAAGTGGCTCCTTGTTCCAAGGAGACAGCATTGGTTCACATGCCAGTCTTGCCCCTTTTCCCAGAGGATCTTGGTCTTCGGGCTGCGTGGCAGACAAGTGCCTTATCTGCTTCTCACTGTGGAT